GGGAGAGGGAGAAGCAGACTCCCCGATGAGCAGGGAGCCCGATGCGGGGCTTGATCCCAGGACCCTGCGATCATGACCTGAGCCGAAGGCAGACGCTTAACAACTGAGCCACCCAGGAGTTCAAAGGAGTTTCAAAATTTCTAACCCATCCATGCTTTTCTAAAGAACAAACCAATCAACTAGACCACAGTGTTTTGTACAGTTGTTTTGTTTTTAGCCTTACAACATCTCAAAACACTGTTTTCCAAAGTTACTTCTGTTAGCTCCTTTCTTTACCACCTTCTTTAGTGAGATTATGCCATTCTGTAGAACACATTTGTTTGTTACAGTCTGCATTCCATCTTGGGTTCAATCTACATCTGGTTGCATTTTAAAAAAACTGCTCACAGTAAAAGTCTTTCCTTTGTGCAACACAGTCTTGGCGTTTTGACAAATGCAGAATCATGTATTTACCATCACAGTATCAAATAGGACAGTTACAAGCCCGCCCACCTCACCCCAGTTCATTTGTTCTATCCTTTTGTAGTCAACCCCCCTCCACACAATTGGCAACCATTTTCCCTTTGCCAGAATATCATATGAATGAAATCATACAATATAGAGTCTTTTGGGTCTGGCTTCTTTCACTTAAGATGTTGCATTTAAGATTCATCCATGTTGTCAATGTGAAACAGTAGTTCATTATTTTTTATTACTGGGTAGTATTTCATTGAATGGCTTTCCTATTGTTCCTTGATCAGTCCACCTATTGAAAAAAATCTCAGTTGTTTCCAGTTTTGGTGGTTATGAATGAAGCTAATATAAACATTCAGAAACATGTATTTGTGTGAATGTAGTTCTCATTTCATTTGTATAATTACAGATTAGGAGTGGGATTGTTGGGCCCTATGGTAAATGTTTAACTTTATAAAACCTGCCAAACTATTTTCCAAAGTTTCTGTACCATTTTACATTGTTGCCAACAATGTGTGAGTTTCATTTGTTCTGCATCTTTGCCAGCACTTGATATTGTCAGATTTTTAATTTCAGCCATTTTAATATATGTGGTGTTATCTCATTGTGACTTTAATAAACTTTTACTAATGACTAATGATGTTTTACATCTTTTCATATACTTTTTTTATTTTTATATCTCCTTTGGTGCAAAGTCAAAAAGCAAATCAAAATAAAGCTGCAATTTTTCTAAATCTATGCTGTCCAACAGGAAACTGAAATCAAGAAGGTAAACACAAGAGTGGTTTTAAAACAATTAAAAATAGGAAAAAATTTTTTGACTTTTTTATATTGCATTTCCAGTACTCCTCGTTTCTTTTTAAAGAGCCAAGTTTCTATCTGGTATCATATTCATTTAACATGCATTGTAGAAGAGGTCTACTGGCAATAAATTCTCATATTCTTTTTTTGAGAAAGTATTTTTTATTCACTTTTGATTTTTTTTTTTTTGGCTGGGTATAGAATTCTATTTTTCTTTCTTCAGCCCTTTAAAGATGTCCTTTTATTGTCTTTTAGTTTGCATAGTTTCAGAAGAGAAGTTGGCTGTAATTTTTAACTTTGTTCTTCTGTGTGTAGTGTGTGTCTCTCTCCTCATCCCCTCACCCCCACCAACCCCACACTACCTTTACAATTTTTTCTTTGTTCTCAGCAGTTTGAATGTAAGTGTAGTTTGGGGCATTTATCCTGTTTGGTGTTCTTTGTTATCTTGGATCTGTGATTTGGTGTCTGTCATTACATTTGGTCAATTTTCAGTCATTATTTTTTCAAATGTTTCTTCTGCATTGTTGTATATTTAGGATTCCATTTACACACCTGAGGCCATTTGATATTGTCCCACAGTTCTTAGTAGTTCTGTTTTGATTTATTTACCTTTTCTCTTTGTCTAGTTTGCAGAATTTCTTTAATGCTACATTCAAGTACATAGATTCTTTCCTCAGCTAGTGTAGTAATGAGCCATTAAAGACATCCTTTCTCTCTGTCACTATGCTTATTTGTAGTATTTCCATTTGATTCTTTCCTGTTGCTTCCAGCTGTGTGCTGAATTGCCCATCTGAACTTACATGTTGCTCATGTTTTCCTTCAGAGCTTTGTACATACTAATTATAGTTGTCTAAAATTCCCCATTAGATAGTTTCAACACCTATGTCATGTGTGTATCTGGGTATCTCTTGAGAGAGTGAATAAATCCTCTTGCTCTCTCACTTAATCTATAATTTCCTCTCGTTTCCCTGAAAAAGTATGTCCCTGAGTTTTTGGCATTCTAAAGTGATGCTTTTGAATTAGTAATGACTAGTGATATGTGATTATTAAGCACTCTAAATATGATTAGGTTGAATTGAGATGTTCTGTAACTAAAATATACACTGCTTTCAAAGGCTTACCACAAAAAAAGAAAAATATCTAAATAATTTTATATTGATTTCATGCAGAAATAACACTTTGAATATACTGACTTAATTAAAGATATTATTAAAGTAAGTTACCTGTTTCTTTTTTAAAATGTGACTATTAGAATATTTAAATTGCATATGTAAAAGGAGATCTAAATAAATGGCAAGACATACCATGTTCATAGATTGGAAGACTCAACATAGCCTAGATGTCAGTTCTCCCGAAACTGACATATTGGTTTGATGCAAATGATATCAAAACCCTCGCAAGTTTTATTAGAGCTGTAGATAAGCTTATTCTAAAAGTTATATGCTAAGGCAAAAAAACTGTAATAGCTGAAACAATTTTGCAAAAGGATAAAGTGGGATGAAGTACTCCACCTGATTTTAAGATTTATTACACAGCTACAATAATCAAGACTATGTGGCATGGAATGAAGGATAAGATGACGCATAGATCAATGGCATAAAATAGAAAACCCAGAAACAGAATCACCCAAGTATGGACAGTTGATTTTGACAAAGTTGCAAAGCAGTTTTGTTGACTGGTTCAAAGTTAAAAAATGCTGGGTCTGACTTGCCTTCTTTTGTTGAATGGAGGAGAGTAAGACACTCTGTTGCAATGTTGTTCTGACAGTCTTGGGGTTCCTAAAAAGTCTGTTTTCCTCTTCCCATCCTCCTTGGTTCTACTTTGTGTCTTGCATTGTATCATGGATTTACAGTTGTACTGAGAGAGAAAGATCAGGGAGAAATGAGTCTATGCCATCTTATCTGGACCAGATGCCCTCTTGTTCTTTTTTTGCAACTTGCTATGAATGTGTTATTTTTTCAAAATAAAAAGCTAAGAAATGTCCATATGAGGCTGACATATTTCTATTGGGCTGCATTGAGTGGTTCCATTGAATGGTTAATGTAACTCATAGCTGAGCCCTTTAAAATTGCAATGGAAATTATTGGTTTCCTCTCTACTCCTTCCTCTGCTTTACTTCTGGCATCTCTTTCCAATGGGATATTATGTTGAAGACTTTATATCAACATAGTTTCTATTTTCTCTGCCATTCTGAGGCTTTCAAAATATTTACAAGGTCATTTCCTGCTTGATCATCGCCTCGATCTGGTCACCTAATCAGCAGCCAGGCTTTTAGGATATGATATTAACTTGGAGGGAAATCTCTTTCCTGCTTGAGGTCTGAGGAAGTAAGAGCTGCTCAAGTTTTCTCCTTTATTTTATCCCAGATATCAGTTTTAGAACAGGTATGCTGTTCTACATGTTGTATATTTAAAAATCACTCATCTTTAATTGAAATTGAAGTTTAAAATCTTGAGTATTTGTTTCTTTAGTTGTCTCCTCTATAATTTGTTATTTTCATTGTTTTCTAGGGGAATTATAAAAAAAGAATAAGGTAAAATTGCCTTTCTCATTTAAATTCTAATTCCTTTTTTGATACTGGATATCTGGGACAAAACAGACAAAACACATAGCTTTGATTTAGTTGTATTATTACTAAAATATTTTTAAGTCAGATCATGCATGTTTCAAGAGGAGTATATATCAAAGGTATAAAATAATTGATTCTAGCATTTCCTGTATTCCTCTTGAATTTATTTCTTGTTTCCACACAGTACTTCCTCTTGTACTTTTTTCACATAGAATTCATGGGTTACAAACTTTCTAAGCTATCTTGCATGTATGCAAATAATTCTTGCTTTATAAGCACATTTCTTTGGAATTGTGAAGCCATTGCCGCAGAGACGCTGAGGCACAAATTACAAACCTCCAGATTCCAGGTAAGGACTCTTGCTGCATATGAAGGGCTAAACCTATAAATCAGGAGAGACTTTATTATTTTTGATTTTACGCTTTTCCAGGTGATGGAAAAAACATAACGTGTTTTCTGATCTCTGGAGTGGTTTTTGTGGTGGGGTGGGGGTGGAGGGTGGGAAGAGTAATGTGGTAGAAGCATTTTAGTTCAGATTAGTGCCAGGAGTGTTACATTCTTGCCTTTCTGATTCTAATCTACTCCACACTGCCTTTTGTCATTTCCCCCGAGATTTCAAGCAAATGATTTATTCTGGGGTACCATAAGAAGGGGGGCAGAAGATGACTGCTGGATGGCAGGAAGGGGATATTTGCAGAGTTTCAAGTACTTTGTCTTTACCAGTAAATAAGATCTGACCTTTACCTCAGACTGGAGACAGATGTAGGCCCTGTCTCCCATGGTAGAAGGCTAGGCATAACATCCCCTCGGGCGTAGCTGGAGATACTGAACATCCAAGTTCGTAGCCCTGAACAACAATCCTGGCTTTGCCTTGCTTCCGTGCTGGGGACTGTAATCCTTTGTCCAGCAAGCACAAGATGGCCGCTAGCGCATTTCAGGAAAATGGCTGGAGTCGCTGGAAACACATACACAGACTCAGGACATTTTTAACTTTTATTCCTGCCTCCCATATAGCATGTTTTCTGCAAAAATTATGAGTTAAATATAATTTAATGGAGATAGGGTATTTAAAATATAATCGTGACCATTCAAAAACTCTCATGAATACAGAAGGAAAAAGAGCCAGCAAACAAACCAAAACAAAACAAAAACAAAATAAATGAAATAAGAACACAATCTCTTCAACGTAGAGACAGTCCATCCATTCTTCTTTCCCAGGGGGAAGTTCCCTGGAGCCACTGCTGAGATCAGACTCCAGAGTAGAAGGTAATTTTTGCACCGAGAGTGCACATCTGATTCACAGAAGCAAGTCTATGTTCCAGCCAAGGCAGCCAAGGCTAAGCAGAGCACAGCTAAGTCTTCGGTCGCTTTGAGGGCCCCGGGACACTTGAGGCCGCTGCCCGAGTGCAGGTCTACTTAATTCGCTTGTGTGTTCTCATTGTCGGTCGTGTTCAGCTGCAGGTATTCCAGAGTGCCCCTTTTGTAGCTGGCCACCCGTGTGGGTTTTCGGCATCTTATCCCCGCCGCCTGCCTTTTCTGTAAAGAGCTGGCGAGCATGTCAGAAAATTCAGCTTGTAAGCGCTGCTGATTCTCCCTGGAAAGAGAGTGGGGAGGGAAAATGGAACTTCTCAGCAATTCATACAGAATATTCCATCGCTCCAGAACAATCAGTTCTGTTTACCAAACACTTAATGAGTGCTTAGTCTGTGCTAAACACGGGAAGTCCAGAGAATACAGAATGAGCCTTGCTTTTGATGGGCTTACAAGAGCTGTCATCCCTGCTCTGTGCATTTGTGGAAAAAGCAGGATACATTTCAAGCAGAAAATTCTATTTCAACTTCAGAGTGGAATGGCATGCTGCTTGGATTTGGAAGCACGGTTAGGTTTCCACATGCCACTTCAGGGAGGGCAAACAAAGCTCGGACAATGCGAGGCCCCTGTGACCCAACCCTGAGGACTTGGGTCCCACACATTCTGGGGTGTGGATCTTGTTTGGGGAGGCCTCCAAAGGGATGGAGGGTTTCAAGAGTCTGGAATGGACCTGGGTGCTCCAATAATGGGCCGGCTCCCCTGTGGCCCAGGGAAGATCTTGCTTGTGTTGGCTTCTCTACCGGCTCACCATCTATCTGGGTCCAGCATCTGGGAGTCTGCAAGACAGGGTCTCTCTACCATAGCAAAAGCCACCCCAGCAGCCATGCGACTGATTGCAGCAACCAAATGTGCAACGGGGTGACCCTGTCAGTCACCATGAAGGAAACTGAAACCTGTTCGTTAGACCTGAAACCTGGCCTTCCTCATCTCTGGGAGAACACAGCCTCCATGTGAAAACCCAGAACCACAGTCCTGGGGTGGGCAGGGGGTCGGGGGGAGGTCCTGTTTCCATCAGCAGCCCCACAGAGAGCTGCAGGCAGGGTTCCGAGTCGCAGAGTGCTTCTTGGCCACCAGCAGGCCTTCCTCTGGTCTGAACCAGATCTGCCGGGAGGTGAGCTGTCAACTCCTCGGTTCTGAGCGTGCCTGGAACACCCAGCTTCTGGCATCCAAGAAGGGAGGTTTCTAGACTTCTCATGTATGTAGTCCCTGGCCGTGTATTCAATATTACCATTGCCATGGGTGGAGGAGCACTTGCCAACTGTTACATTGGCTGTAGGTACCACAACTGATAAAGCCAAGCCTGCCCCTTCCCTGTCCCGCCCTGCCACACCCAGCGGCTTACACAGTAGGAGGGGTCGGCAGGTTGTACTCCTGGCCCTTCACCCCTGTCAGCCAGTAGGTGGTCTCAGTTCCTCTTCCCTGGGGAGACAAGAAATGTGGGTGCCACAGAGGCCAGTGAGACAGGTCAGCTCTAGCCCACGGTGCTGACAAACATCCATCTCCAAGAGACACCTCACTTCCATGTTTCTCATCAGTGTCCACACCTCAGTAGAGCCCATGTTCTGATGGGATTTGCATTCCCTCTAGACGTATCTTTCTTTCCAAGTGCCTTTTTAGAAATAAGTCTCTCATTCCCCAGACGTGTTTTTTTTCCAAAGTAGAGTTCTCTTTTTTCCCCAAAAGACATCTCAAAGTGTTGCTATAGCAACATCATAAGAACTCTAAATGAAAAAAGAAGAAAATTCGCGTCCAATCCTGCTACGCCAAGACATCCAACTGGTTTTCATCACCCACTTTTTCTTCTAGCCCTTTCGCCACAAGATTTCGTCACAAACCTTTTGCCACAGTTTCCCCAACTTAAGCATGTAAATTACAAGCACATGTACACCCTAAAAAATCCTTATTAAGTGACTTTTGCTGGGCACATCTGGAGGCTATAAAATGAATGGAAATGTACTGGAAATCCTATTTTCGCCAAACCTTGTATTTGAATAGGAGATGGGATGGCTACATATTTAAAAATCACTCATCTTTAAAGGTTCATTTATTTGAGAGAGAGAGAGCACACACGATAGGGAGAGGCAGAGGGAGAGGGAGAGAGAGAATCCCAAGCAGACTCCATGCTGAGTGTGAGTCCAATCTGGGGCTAGATCTCATGACCCTGAGATCATGACCTGAGCCGAAAGCAAGAGTCAGATGTCAACAGATTGAGCCACCCGGGCGCCCTACAAATCACTCCTATTTAGTGAGTAGTTTGCTGGCTGTGTTTGGACTGCAGTCTTCCATACACCACTTCTATGCTGGGGGTAATGCTCTGTGCAGAAAGTGTATTGATAATGCGTGTGATATAGGGCACGTCTACAGGAAAGAAGGCTTTTCCAAGTTGCAGTCACAGTGTAAAGATTAGAAGCACTGTGGCTCCTGGAGACAGATCATCTTACGGGTTGGTAGTTGGCTTCAGATCAGTTGTGAAAGGACTGGAATGACGTTTGAAAAGCAGCCCGAGGGCCAACTGGAGACCCTTGGTACCTCTGGAAGGCAGCTGTTATGAATGTGAGGAACAGCCTGGAGAGGAGAGACTGGTGATTCTCCATCCTTGGCGTGCATCCTGATCACTTAGACTACTCCTTAAAAATATAGATTCCTGATCTACATCCACAGAGGGTCTTTCTCAGCAAGCCTGGTGGAGAGTTCAGGTATCTACATTTTCGAAAGCACCCAGATGATGCTGAATCAGAAGTCTGGGGCCACAGGTGGCAGGCAATTCACGGGTCCAGAGCTTCAGAATGGTAAAGCAGGGCGCCTGGGTGGCTCAGTTGGTTAAGCGACTGCCTTCGGCTCAGGTCATGATCCTGGAGTCCCTGGATCGAGTCCCGCATCGGGCTCCCCGCTCGGCAGGGAGCCTGCTTCTCCCTCTCCCACTCCCTGTTTGTGTTCCCTCTCTCGCTGTGTCTTTCTCTGTCAAATAAATAAATAAAATCTTAAAAAAAAAAGAAAAAAAAAAGAATGGTAAAGCAACCCCTGGAGAGGTGGTTTTAGAGAGAAGCAGCATCTTGCAGTGAGGGCAAGGAAGTAAGGGAGGACATGGGGGCTTTGACTTAAGCTAAATAAGTCCCAGGGCACCTGGATGGCACAGTGGGTTGAGCGTCTTGATTTCACCTCAGGTCATGATCTCAGGATCATGGGATCGAGCCCCGTGTTGGGCTCTGTGCTCAATGCAGAGTCTGCTTGAGTTTCTCTCTCCCTCTCCCTCTGCTCCTCCCCCTACCCCCGCTCTCTCGCTCTCTCTCAAATAAATAAATACACCTTAAATAAATAAATAAATAAGTTCTGTCCCAGACCTTAACTCTCAGCTTTGCAGGAGGAAATGGACACAAAACTTGGAGGTATGTGGAAGAAATGGTGGTAGCATTTTATAACATATTGGTGTTAGTTCAAAATATGAAAAAGGCTCTGAGTTCGCATTCTTCAGAGGTGGCTTCTCCTACAGGGGGTAATGGGTGATCACCGCAGGGAGTGCAGAAAAGGATTCTTCATCTTTGTGCTCCTCAATATTACTGACCACTGGATGTCCTGTCTCCAAGGAGGTGACCCCCAAGTGAGTGCTTTTTCTGGGTCCTCTCTCTGTGGATCCCTTACCTTTAAGTACGTTTCCCCTCTCACTTCGTACAGGAACTGGCATTCAGTTCTCTTCAGGATGGCTATTGTGGAGCCGCTCACATGAATTCTCAAGGCTGGAAATGCAAAATGATCAATGAAAATCTCATCCATTTTGAAGTCTATTATACAAACACATTTGTTTCCACTTGATTCAGGACATTTGTTACAGGAGTTCTTGACAGCTGAGATGCTTTAGTGAAAGGACACTTGAAAATACAATCCATGAGATAAATTCTATCACACATGGGATGAAAGAGGGTCTGACATTGCTTTTGGGGGTCCTGAGTGAAGGGGCTCCCCAGGTTGTGCTCTATAGATTCTCCCTCCTCCTCAGAGTGGTGGCCCCTGCGGTTCCCATCCTCAATTTATTCCTTCCACTTTCTGATGCCTAGAAAGATGAGGCAACTTTCCCCCCGTTTATACAGACAGTGATTTGTATAGTTATAACTGTAACCCAAATCCGCCCTTTCCTTTATACCATGATTTTCTAGTACAAACCAGTATCAGGTTGTCAGCAGACTGCCAAGATACCACTCTACCACCTGTGTTCTTGTAAGCCCCACCCACACCTACCAAAGCTTGCTTTCTCTCTTATATAGATTTCTGTTACTATCACTGTTACCAGTATTTATTATCCACTACATGTAGCTCCCAGCGCCTCTACCCTGTCAGGCAAATGCAATAGAGGCTTCTGCGTATAATAAATACTTATGTTTTTCTTTACTAAAACCAATTCTCAGGAAAACAAAAGAGGAATAGGAAAGCGAGCCAGCCCATGCTCCATATCTAGCCCCCTGAATTTTTTTAAAAAAGATTTTATTTATTTATTAGAGAGTGTGTGATAGAGAGCATGAGTAGGGGAGAGGGGCAGAGGGAGAGGGAGAAGCAGACTCCCCGCTGAGCAGGGAGCCTGATGTGGGGCTCGATCTCAGGACCCTGGGACCATGACCTGAGCCAAAGGCAGTTGCTTATCCGACTGAACGACCCAGGAGCGCCTGAATTTTTTTTTTTTAACTTCCATGCTAAATTTCATAACCATTCCAGGGAAAGCATGTCTGAATGCATTGCAAATGAACCCAAACAAATAGAAATAGTCTACTACTGAGCTAAAAAGGAAGAACACAGTAATTCCCAGGAAATGGCGGCGACAAAAGCAAATGTCGCAAGGACCGAATGGACTCAGGCTCACGTCCAGTCAATGTGAAAGGTCATTCTTTCATCTCACTAGCACTTTGTAGCTCCTTATTGTGCGTTTTGTTCTCTAGTTCCCCTCTGCTGGAAGACACACTCTTCCTCTAAGAAAAGTGATCTTTCTTACGGAGGCCCGTGGATTCCATCCTAGAGGCTGTGTTGACGGTGTCTCCAAATAGGCAGTAACGAGGCATCTTGATCCCCACGACTCCGGCAGCACAGGGACCTGGAATGCACAGAAAGCAGGAAGTGGAGGCAGCAGCAATCACGGTGCGGAGTTAGGGTGGGTAGGGCTTTTCTCAGGGGCACAGTGCTGCATCCTTCATTTGATGTAGGTGCGAAAAAGGAGCCGTGACTTTTCTTAAATGGATGTATTCAATGAGGAAAGCATTGTTCTAGCAAGACAAGCTTCCAGAAAATATTTTGCTATAGGACAGAAAAGTACATTTGCACAAAACAAGAAAGGTTTCCAGAGATCCAGGCTGCAGAGGTGGGAAGTCCTTCTTAATATGTTCAATAGAAGGTTCTCAGGAAGGATGAAGACTCCCCCACGGCTCGCTTACTGTGCCAGGCCACACAGCCCCGAGCTCTTAGCTCAAAGCCTCAGTGGCCAAATTGTGTTTTATTTTTATTTACTCAGAGTAGCATTGCTCGGACTGGAGACACAATGATGGAAGACCCAGAAGATGAGGGCTTGGCACACTTCATGCGCCGTGTGAATGCAGAGGGATGAAAGAGGCTGTGGCGCAAGGACATTCTCGCAAGAACACAGAAACCAAGGCAAGACTGGGCACAGCAGCATACTGGGTAGGGAAGAAGGGTTGTTAATCAGGTATCTGTGTGGAGTGACTGAACACAAGGAGTTACAGATTTTAGACGTTAAAGACTAACTCAGAAATTGCAAAACCGGTTTTGGATAAAGGGAACTTGATTTTCTAGTTGGCTTATTGGGTTTTGACCTACATGAGTTTCTTTGTAGGTTTATCCTATAGATTCTCTGTGATTATGAACATGGAAAAAAAAAAATCAAAATACCAGATCTTCCTTTGAGTGCTGAGCCCTTCTTTGTTAGGTTCAAGGCAAAACAACACAAAATAACCAAACAACAGCAACAAGAAACAAACAGAAGCAGAAGCAGCCTACCCAAGGGAAGGAGCCGGAGAGGCCTCTATTGTATCAGAGGATCTCTCTGATCTGGGCCTGAGGTCCGCTAGGGCAAATTACAGGTGACTCTTCACTTCAACACCGGAGTGAAGCTGGGAAGGGCCGGGCAGTGAAAATTTCTGCAGATATGAAGTCTTGTTTTCAACTATCAATATTTAACTGCAACCTCTTAATTTCTGAGGGCTAAACCCCTCCAGGTATGTGTGCCTAATATCTATGCTCACTCTAGCCCAATGTGGTGACACCTGGGGCCCTGGCGGTCGGCTCAGGCTTGAGCTGGTCACAGGGGGAAAGAGATGGGAGCGGGACCCAGAGCCCTGACTCGGCTCAGTCAGCCATGCCGCTGTCCCTCCCTCCAGGCCTGGCAATCTGTGATGGGTCAGAAAAGGGACAGCATGCTGTTGCTGGCTGGGGAAACGCCTGAGAAGTCTCCTCATGTGTATATGGAAACATCTCTGATATATGGCTGTGGTCATGATTGTGGCAGAAATTTTTAACTTCTATTTACTTTTCCTTTGAGAATCTCACCGGCTCATTACTAAATCAATAAATGTTTACTGCCAGGCTCTCTGCTAGGCATGATGGCTAGAGGATGACTCTTGCAAATGCAGTTGTCTGGTCCTCGTCACAAACCCTGTAGTGATCTTGGGTTTTCTGTATTTTGAGTCTTCTGTGAGCCATGGAGGGCAGAAAAAAGAGCAATGACAAGAAAGTATAGGGAGATGTGAGTTTTAACACAAGGAAAGACTGTCTAATAATTATAACTAGTAATGCAGTGAGTTGGCTTTGGAAACAGTGAGTTTTCAGGGAATCCTGGGATTATTCCAAAGGTAGCTATAGTATTACTTGTCTTGGAACCTATAAAAATAAGTTGTGCCCTATAAAGGATTAATCTAGATGACTTCTGAGTTCCTCTCCAACTTCATTTTTCTATAACATTTGTAGCTCATCTTCTCAAATCTCTACATTCTAGGCTGAGTATCTTTCATGGTCTTTGAAGTGATCCATGTACTTTCTGTACCATAGAGGGGGGTGGGGTGGACATAAATGCCCTTTCATTATAGGAATTTTACCAGCTATTTTTTTCCCCTGTAGATAATCCAATCCTTGAAAGATACTATAATAGTGTAGTGGGAAAACAAAACAAAACAAAACAAAAAAAAACAGACGTTGGGGGTGGGGGGAGAGGGAGGGAATGGGCAGGAAATAAATGAAACAGTAAATATGGGGACTTAAATAGGAGGAAGTCTGGAAGCTGTCATTTTAGTCTGTAGTTGGTGTTTATCATTCCAGGAGTCAAAGGTGCTGTAAAAGGTGTTGTTCCCTAGAACTCTCGAAGGAGGGTCGACTTATGTCAGGATATGTAATGGGACCTCATTAGGGTTTGGGATTGGGTCTAATTATGTCAGGATATGTAATGGGATGTCATATTTGCTAGGCAGACTCAAGAGTAAACTTCATGGGAAAATCGATCACATCTGGAGACCCTTTATCCTTTCTGATTTAGTTGGTGCACAGAGGTTCATATGGTTCCCATTTGCTACATTGCTTAACTCCGTACCAGAGTGAACTCCAATGCGAATCCATATGGGGAGGCCGGGAAGATGCTCCAGCTCGAAGGTCCCCATGAAGCTGAGGATGTCCAAGGCCATCTTGGCAATGTCGATTGCATGCCTGTTGCCATTCCTCTTGGGTAAACCGCTGGCCACCATGTAGGCATCGCCAATGGTTTCCACCTGTGGAAATAGTTGCTCATTAGCGGTCCTACCCCTTCAAAAGGCAGAAGACATAAAAAACAAGCAGTTGATGGCATGTCAAAACAAAAGCTTTTGAGAACTCAGTGTGAGCACAGCCCCATACTTCTTTTTCTGGGACTAGCTCAAGACCAGGTCTCTGCTAATTTCTTCATGGTTTTAGAGTCTAGTTAAATGAATGATAAAACAGCTATAAAAGACTTTGACCATACGAAAGTACTTCATAATAATATAAACCATCCAGATGTGGTGACCCTTCTCTAATGTTTACGTAGTCTGAATGGTTGTATATAATTTCAGGAACACCTGTAATTACCAGAAAAGTCACCTTTAGCACTTAACATTTTTTCTCCTATTTGACAAAAAATAATTGTAGGCTCCTCCAAGATGTAATGCACATTCTTTTTTTTTTTTTTTAAAGATTTTATTTATTTATTTGACAGAGAGAGACACAGCGAGAGAGGGAATACAAGCAGGGGGAGTGGGAGAGGGAGAAGCAGGCTTCCCGCCGAGCAGGGAGCCTGACGCGGGGCTCGATCCCAGGACCTGGAATCATGACCTGAGCCGAAGGCAGACGCTTAACGACTGAGCCACCCAGGCGCCCCTGTAATGCACATTCTTATAGTATGGTGATTCCAAACACCTTTTCTTGTAATAAGTATATTTGTATCAACAGTATCCTATAAACATTATTCTCTCTTTTAATTTTATTTTCATAATCATATAGTTCACGTTTGTTGGGTAGTTAACTTCTCTTTGCCAACCATCTCTAAAACGCATAACCATTTCCTATCCAACAAGAACTATTGTTCATATGGCTTTACTGACCTACATAGAGTGAAGATAGGGCTAAGACAAACCCTAAAAGGAACATCTTCTCTGTGGGTAATAACCATTATGACAGACTGTTAACATGAGTGACCTCTAAACTTTACTTGAGCATACAGTATTTTATCTCAATAACCTTCACAATAATCTACTGAGTTAGGTGTTATTATCATTCCATTTTACAGATAGGCAAACTGAAACTTGACAAAGTTAAACGTATTTTATGAGGTCACACAGGGAGGGCCAGTTGGGATTTGAACAAATAGCTCTAATTCTAAGTTACTTGCTCCATAAGCTCTGCTGCTTTTCCAGCATGAAAATGTGGGAATTCAATTCTCCTTTACTCTTCTGACTCAGACATTATGAGCCCAAAATGGGCCTGCACTCTAGTTAGATAGAGTGCTAAACTTACAGAATATTCTCCCTGTTCTTCTTTAGTCTTCTTTTAATGATGCTTGCTACTTCAACAGCAGATTCCTATTCTACTTATTATAACTCCAGTGTCTTCTCTGCTTCCTTTGCAATCAGTCCACACACTGTCCATTTTTTTAAAAGATGATTTGAGAGAATGCCATTTTCTTTTAATTTAGTACCCAAAATTCATTCCTGATGAGGTTTATGTTGTTTCTTTCAAACTGCTTCTTAAAGTCACATGGGCATTTTGACTTCTGACCCTTGTTACTCTTTTACTTCCCTTCATTTTGAGCTCAGATTCAATCATGAATTCATTAAATCTTAAATTAGGACAAGATCTGAGTAATAATAGGAACCAACCAACTTTGGCTCTGCTGACCAAGGGTAGTACAATCATTTCAGCCTGTTAGGTGAAGTGGTTACCTTGTACACATCATGGTGATCAAGAATGTGGTCAAAACTCTTGTAGATGTCATTGAGCATGTCCACCACTTCCATAGGGGTGCTGTATTTGCAGATGGTGGTGAAACCTACAATGTCACTGAAGTAGATTGTAACTTCCTCATAAAATTCAGGCTCCACAATGCCTTTCTCCTTCAGAGACTTTACCACTAGCCTAGATGAGAAAGGGGAAAAAATGACTTCGACTTCAGTAATTATTTTTTTTATCTTGCATAAATCTTAGAGACAGTAGTAATGATCCACAGGGAATTCTAGGATTTGGGTGGGGTGACCAGGAAGCAAAGACTGGTCGCACATACTGACTGTAGGAATATATTACATACATACACATATGATACTTGCATTTGAACTCAGAGGAATATACGCAGGTTTAGCATTAACTTGGTACTTGATTATTAACCCTAATAAACATGTACATATAACTCTAGTACCTATATAACCCTCATATGGATACACACTTGCCCACTTTTTGCCACTGTATTGATAGTCAGCTTCTTCTAGCTATAGCTCTACATCAGGAAGCTGAGGAGGGTGTGTCATTAATGTAAGAGCTTGAATCACTACAGCTGTCACACCTGACTTTTTTCATCAGAGCCAACAGTTTTGCCTCCCAAGCATGGTTTACTTGGTATTATTTAATATCACTATAAAGGAACAATACATTTAAAAATTAACTTTGATATTTTCTGAACAAGAACTTATTTGATATATTTTTGAACCAGATTTGGGTCTTTTAAAAAGCAAAGTCAGTCAGTCAAGTTAAAATTATGGTAAAACTGCAGAAGTCAAATAAAAGCAACTTAGAATATCTTTGTTGCAGAAATGGAAGGAGTAGTATATCGGACTCAGAATTAAGAGAGAACCACAAAGAAGGAATTCCACACCATACTTCCTTGATGGGCCAAGTTGCCTTTTCATTGAGAAAATGGGTGGGGCCAACATGAGACTAGCCTCTCCCTGTCTGCCCTTGGGATCCCTCTGTAAAGGATCCAAGTATGGAACCACTAGAATCAGAACATGGCCGCTGGGAGGTGCCGTGGAGGTCACTGAGAACACTGAGGCTTAAAAAGAAAGTACGACTTTCACAAGGTCCCATAGCCACTAAAGGGAGAGCCAGTACTCAGCAACATCCCACCTTTTGGTCTTTTTATTTCCGGGCATCTCCTCCACAACCCAGACCTTGGGTATTCATGGAGATGAGGAAGATCTGGAGGTAAGCTGATTGTATCGAAGGAGGAATATCTGCCATTCTCCCAGAAAATAGTTCATTAACCACAAGGACACGCAACACTCATTGTGAGAACCTCCAAAGCATCGAGGAAAGTCTTTTTAATTGGTGCAATGACAAAGCCTGGGACCTTTGAGAAACACCCCTGTGATGTGGCTGGTTGGATTCTCAGGGCACTTCTGCGGTGGTTGTTCTTGACCGGCCCAGTGTAAGGGTGCAAAGTTTTTGAAGACTATATAAATGTAATGATAAAATTGGATATTTCACCATCTTTACCCTTCCTATTACTGCTTATATCTGTAAAGTCATATGAGCTTGGAAACTAGTGCATTATCCAGAGAGAGAAACTAATGTTGGTAGATAAATGAAGAGCTGTGACTTAGCCTGGCAAGCTTTGGTAACAGGCTGTTGCTGACACAGACAAATTAGTGAACACAGTAGATGTCTTGGAAAGGCTTCCCACAAGAAGAAAAGCTTCTATTTTACTGTCTCAAAACCCAAGGGGCACTGTTTAAATAAGTGTTTAAGTAGTATCTGGTTCCTACATGCAGTCTGAGTTTATTCGCAATTTTGCCATTATGTTTCTTTTTGATCCTTGTAGTTATTGTTGGCGTACGTTTTAGTTTTCTTTTACAAATATACATACTTTTTACATAAATTATCAAAGTGAGTTGCACTGGAGGCCTGGTGTATTGCAGCTATTGAAGTGATTGGTGCCATATAACCTTTGGCAATCTAATAAAAATATCTACCCATGGAGATGAAAAGTAGAGCACAGGGAATATAGTCAATACTGTTGTAATAACATTGTATGGAGGCAGACGGTAACTAAACTTATTGTGGTGAGCACTGAGTAATGTACAGAAGCATCCAATTACTACGTTGTACACCTGAAACTAATATAACACGGTCTGTCAACTATACTGAAAACAAACAAAACATCTACCATCTAGTGGTCAAAGTGGCACATTACACCAAGGGTAAGATAAAAATCTGAGGTGGTGAGCTAGCTGTTTCTCAAACTAATCGTTTGAGTAACATTATTGGTTAAAGCCACTGATGATGACACCCCAGGAAGGCAGCTGGATTATCTGGATGTTGTTTTTGTCACCACTCAGCAGTAAAGGCCAGGGAAGGAATTATGCATCGTATAACTAGCATTTCTGAAGCTCTGATAGAAATCGCCATCTCTGGGGCGCTTGGGTGGCTCAGTCATTAAGCGACTGCCTTCATCTCGGGTCATGATCCCAGGTCCTGGGATCGAGCCCCACATCAGGTTCCCTGCTCAGTGGGAAGCCTCCCTCTCCCACTCCCACTCCCCCTGCTTCTGTTCCCTCTCTCGCTGTCTCTCTCTCTCTGTCAAATAAATAAAATCTTAAAAAAATATATATATATATATAAAAATCTCTGATGGGAATATTAAGGGCTCAAGCCTATCTCCAGGGTACCATTCCCAGGCTGTTCCTTGGCACTCTGAGGACACACAGATTCTGCAGTAGGCTCCCTTCGGGCACGGATGACTGAACAGAGCATGTGTGTCACTCCCACCTCTCCACCCAGGTTTGTCAAAGAGAAACTGTCTCTTTATTTAGAAGACAGCTCCCATGGTCTCAAAATCATTCCTTTAGTAATGTAGAACTGATATTCCAAATGAAGCATGGGTTCAAAACCATGGGCATTGCAGGCTCTGTGCTGACTACCTTATATCCTGGGCACTATTTCAGGAAATTCTTAGGGCCAGCCTATGAGGTAGATGAGAAACTGAGGCTTGGCTCATGTAGGTAACTTGTCCAAGTTGGTGGTGGAACCATGGCTTGAAGTCAGGCCTTGCTGACCTCAGTTTCCACGATTTCACCCAATGCTAGACTCCTAGCTTAGTCTTCAGCTCATAGAACAGTTTAGTTTACTTTAATGACAGGAGAACATTCCTGCTCCCTTTGGCCCAAGCCTATTTTCTAGCTCTTCACATTTTAATTTCTTGCTTCTCTTAACTTTGCTTAGTTATTTTCTGAGTACCAGCACTCAGAAAACTTTAAACTGTTTGGGGATTTCAACCTTACCTCCTTTCTCTTATGTCCATGGCTGTGATTCTGTTTCACAAAACAGAGGTCAGCTCATAGATGCCTCTGTGATGAGGCATCTGATACGTGGCTCCCACCTCCTCCACTCACGACTGCCCCTACTTCTTAATTTGGCTTCTACTTTGAGGTGGAAATGGGCATTTAGTGCCTGCAAGAGCCTCATGGCTCCTAGATTCAATAGGAAAACTTTGATTTCCATTTTGAGATTAAGGAGAGACAGCCAGTGACTTGCCAAAGGTCCCAGACTTCGTAAAAGTGGCAAAGAGGTGTTAGAACCCTGGTCATTCTAACTCCACCGCCCATGCTCCTTCTGGGGCACCACACAGCCACTTGAAAATAGCCTTTTTCCGGCTGCCTGGGTGGCTCAGTCATTAAGCGTCTGCCTTCGGCTCAGGTCATGATCCCGGGGTCCTGGGATCAAGCCCCGCATCAGGCTCCCTGCTTAGCGGGGAGCCTGCTTCTCCCACTCCCCATGCTTGTGTTCCCTCTCTCGTTGTGTCTCTCTCTGTCAAATAAATAAATAAAATCTTTAAAAAAAAAAGAAAATAGCCTTTTTCTTCTA